GGGGTTTGGTCGAGGGGCGCCACCCTCCAGGGCCCGAGGGAAAGGCGCTGCCGGCGGTGCGGTCTCCCCAGTCCCGGTTCCGGCTGTGCCCTCGGCCGAGGATGCTGCCTGCGCTGAGCTGCCCTGGCAGCCTGCCTGCCTCTCGGAGCTCTGCGGCTGCCGGGTGTCAGGGCTCCCCATGGGAACGGTCAGGGCCCGGCAGGGCAGCTGAGGCGGGCTCAGTGTGTGCGCAGTGCTTCCTGGCATCCCGGGGAGGTTCGTCCTCAAAGGAGATAAATCCCGTCTTGATGGGAAAAGGGACAGGGTCTGGACCCTTTCCAACTTGTTGCTTTTATTCGCACTGCAGGAATGGTTCAAAGCTGCACCTGGGAAGGGTTAGATTGGACATTAGGTGTAGTATGTGTATGAAGGTGTAGTAACATGGAGCTAGCTGTAATGTGGGTAACTTGGAGGCCAGTTGTTATTGCTGCTAGTATTGAGACTAGGCCAGTACCAGTGCAGCGACCTAACTTACCCTAGTAAATCACTTCTTTTGTCTACACATTCACCAGATCTTTGCTATCTGTTTCTTAGAATCTGAGAAAGAGCAAAAAGAGCACTGAATATCTTTGTTTGTAAGACATTTTAACTGCTATGCTCTTTTTTATCTCCTCTTTACCCCCCCTGTTCCTTAGAGAATGAAGGTGATCCTCAGGCAAACCAAGGAGGCCGCAAGGAAGTATTCACTAGAGAAACAGCTTTAGGATTTAAAGTAACAACAGTAGTAACATACAGAGATGTTCAACCTCCTCTTACTCGACTGCTCAGGCATGTGGTGTCATTCTTTGGTTTTAATGATGACCCACCTTCTGAAAAGTGAGTGATCCTGTTGCTCAGAACTTTGTGCTGGAGCTGGCTTCTCCGAGAAAGTCATCCTGGCTCCTGGCATCAGACCATCGGTGGAAAACTCTCTTGCATTGCTGAAACAACAGTTCTGTCTCTGACACAACTTTGCAGAACTTGGAAACCTTCTCGCCTGCTCTCTGCTGTTCTTTGCACGTGTATTCAAATTACTAAACACAAACTGGGTTCAACTAGGTGTGTTGTGTGTTGTTAATGAATCTGTGTGCTGCCTGGTGTCCTGTGTCCAGCCATCTGACTGGGTGGCTGTTGCGTTTTTTTTGTGAAGATGATTTCCCAGCTGGTGTGCAGGATGTACCCGAGTGGTCCGGGAGGTACCTGAAATGGTTCCTCAACTGATCAGCTCTGAAACAGATACTTTAAGGACGATGAGTAAACGGGGAGGAATGTAGTCTTCCAGGCATGAGAGTTGTTAATTGTCCTTCAAATAAAACCTTACAAGAGATGAATTACAAGTGCAGAAATACTACTGTAGGCTGAAAATTTACTGTTTTCTGCTCCAGGCCCTTTACCAGGCCCTTGTTTCTATAGGGGTTTCCCTGATCCTTGTACGTGCTGCCTACCCTGGTAGGATACTGCCCCCAGCTGCTGTGGCTGTAACTAACTCATTCTGTAGGGTCCTTGTGGACATCGCCTCTTTTCACAGTAAGCTGCTCCTGGCCACTGTTTTCTGTGTTTCCCCCAGTTTCTCACACTGCTGACCCTCGTTGCTGTAGGGGCTCCCTGCAGCCACCACTTCCTCTTCCTGAAGGCTGCCCCCAGCTCCTACTTTCTACAGGGGACTTCCCCCAGTCCCTATAGACACGGCCACCCTTCAGACAATCTGACCCAAGCCCTGCAGACCCTCCTTTCCATAGGGGATTCCCCCTTCCCCTGCAGATACCTCCCTGTTTCTGTGGGGGCTGCCTGCTGTCCCTATCGCCTTTTCTAGGACCCCCACAGCCCTGCCCCACCATTGTCTCTGTAAGGTCTTCCTGCAGTCTCTGCAGACACCACGTTGCTATACAGAAAGCTATCTCCAGCCCCTCTGCCCACACACCCCAGCTTCCATAGGAGCTATGATGCCACGAGCTGCAGTTGATGCACTTACAAACCCACCTTTCTGTAGCGGCTCCTCTGCTCCACCACCTCCTTTTCTAGAAGGCTCCTCTCAGCCACTGATCGCTATGGGTAGCACCCCTGTGCCCCTATAGCCGTTCCTATAGAGGCCACCACCCCGGTTACCTGCATTTGCTCCCTTCTGTAGGTACCGCCCTCAAGAGACCCTATAGGCACCAACTCCCTGCAGAGGAAGAGACTCCTTCCGCACGCAGAACATTTGTAGACATCCCGCCTGCCTCTACGCGCACCTCCCATTCTATAGAGGCTTCCTACAGGGGAAGCCCCTTTAGGCACCGCTTGTGCCGCTACTACGGGACACAGACTCGGCGGCCCTACAGCGCCTCTGGCTGGGGGGAGAGGGTGCTGCAGCACCCCCAGCCGCCAGGGGGCGCTGTGAGCGGCGCGGCCCGGCAGGGAGCGGCCGCCGTTGCCTAGCGCCATCGCCCCCCGCCCCGCACCGGC